TTTATTTCGGATGTTTCCTTAACACCCGCTATGGTAAATCCCATAGCCGCTACCCAATACACCACACGCTTTATACACAGGCTATAAGCTGGTATGCAAAGCACACGAGGGCCAAGTACTGACTACATAAACATGATCTGAACAATGGGGGTTGATGCAAACATCATGGGGGGGGGGGAGGGGGTGGTTGTACACATGGGCTGCCATGGATGCTACAAGACAATATTAGTATGGGGCCTACATTTTGTTGGGTCAGTTACATATATATTTATAAATATCGTTTTGAAAGAAAATATTGACATGAAAGCGTGCCACGATATGCAATATTTAAGGGGATATATTTTATTTTTAAGCATTGAGTAAATTCGGAAAACTCTTGTTATCTGAAACAAAACTCTATGTTCAGATTTGTGAGAAATTGTTGGAGAAGAAACCCGTCCGAAAACCTGTTATTTTAGTTTTACAAAACATATTATATCAACATGATATTTAACATGATATTTAACATGATATTTAACATGATATTTAACATGATATTTAACATGATATTTAACATATTTAACATGAATTTAACCTTAGTTCTGTCGAGTCGTTGATAACATTTAAATATCCAACGCATGTCTCTAAGCTCCCAGATAATCTCTCCAACGCATGTCTCTAAGTTCATAGATAATCTCTCCAATGCATGTCTCTAAGCTCCCCAGATAATCTCTAAAACGCATGTTTCTAAGCTGTCAGATAATCTCTCCAACGCATGTCTCTAAGCTCCCAGATAATCTCTCCAACGCATGTCTCTAAGTTCACAGATAATCTCTCCAACGCATGTCTCTAAGTTCACAGATAATCTCTCCAATGCATGTCTTTAAGCTCCCCAGATAATCTCTCAAACGCATGTGTCTAAGCTCCCCAGAAAATCTATAAAACTCGTTTCCAAGCTGTCAGATAATCTCTACAACGCATATCTCTAAGCTCAAAGATAATCTCTCAGATAAACGCTTAAAGCTAAATAATATCAATATAAAATACATTTCAAGACATATGATGCATTGTCAGGTTATACATTTTTTATATGGTTAGGGAAGCAAGCAAAGAACACACAAAGCCATGCCTTAAATCTAGTGAAAAATGGGAAGGGGGGGGGTTGGTGCGGGGAAGTCCAACCCTTGCTGACCCCTTGCTGACACCTTGCTGACCCTTTCTCGTTGGGAAGAACACCAATAGAACGGACACAATTTTTATAATAAAAAAAATCTTTAATATTTTTTGTTTCGTCTCTTTCCAGGCTTTCCCCGTACACGTTTTCTCCTATTTCTTATTTAATTTTGTTTCAAGTAAGCCTTTGCTATTTACTAGTGAAGCAAATCTCAAGTTGGGGAAATTTAAGAAGTTGCAATCTTTGAAAGACGTCATAAAACACTAATTAAAAATGAAAAAAAAAATTATGTTAAGATTTTAAAAAAAAATTCTCTCAATCTTTTAATTTGTAAAATGTATTTGATGTTTTTATCTGCAAAACCCTATGATATGCTCGAAACACGAGCCCGCAAAGTAATGGTTAGATTGGCGATGCCGCAATTGAATTTGCAATTACAAATCATCTACATGATGTCATTTGTAAATATTTACAATTAAAACTACTCAAGCTCAAGAAAAAAAAAAACTACAACACAACTTCACAAGAGTGACTATCAACAACAAACAAAATGGAGGTAGTGTAAACTTAATGGGAGCACAGCAGTAACTGAAAAAGGTGGGTGGAGCGGGGGGGGGGGCTTTATAAACACATCCAGTGTACACAGCAGTAATCTCTGTGATGGACACTTTTTTTTTTTTTGGGGGGGGGGGGGGGGGGGCTGGGGGGCGGGGTTTGACTTTTCTCATTCGACCTGAGCTGCTGTTCTTACTAGAAAATGCTCCGTCAGCACAGTATATCATGGACTTGTCATCATGTATCGTCATACACTTGCGCTCTACACGAGTGAGTCCAGCATTGAGGTGGGAGTCCAGCATTGAGGTGGGAGTCCAGCAGTAGGGAAGGAGTCCAACATTTAGGAGGGCGATAGAGAGATGCAGGCAAAGAGTTATAGATGTGAGAAATTAAAAAAAGGCTGAATTTTGTTCATTAGTCTAGAGAGAAAAGTTAGTTCTTTCATAAGAAGAGGATTTCGTTTAGAAATATTGACTGGGCGTAATTAGTAGAATTATTCTGAAATGCCAACATGTTTTGGTACAAAATTGTTACGATTAGAGGTTTAGATGCCAGGAAATAAATGAATTAGAATCAGACGTATAAGG